CGCGGCCTTCGGCCGCGCGTGAGGCGGTGGCAAGTACACCCTTCCATTAGAGGCGGCAATTACAGGGCATACGCGATGGAGCCACGCATACTCTAGCATAGGACCCGAAGTGCACACGAGCAAAAACTCCCAATGGAGTCTCTGATACAGCTCACTGGAGCCCTCGCGCTCAACAGAGGGTCGCCTCCACGCACCTATCATCGGAGGGTGCCGATCACTCGTCGTCCTCCTCCCCCGCCGTCGCCAACAATCCTGCCAGAAGCCGCTCCACGCATTGCAACACTAACACGCAGGCGCCAACATGATCTACGGTTGATGCCGAGTGGAGGCTCGCCGCAATTGCTTTCATTGCTGCGACAACCCCGCGGTCCATGCCGCTTCCCGGGGCGGGCGCTAGCAGCACTCGCCCAAAGAGAACCATCAGTTCATCTGATGAGTCTGAGCAGTTCTGGAGGGACATGTGGGGAAGCGCCCATGGATTCCCCGTGCCACGCAGCGCAGAGTGCGCTACGGCGAGCATTCTCGCCACCGCCCCCGTCGCCGTCCCCAAGTGCCCAAAGCGGCGGAGTGTGGCGGCTGGTATCGCCACCATCCTCTCCACGCGCCGGAGACGGTCAACCTGGACCCTGGGCGGAATCCGCACCTCGCCAGTCCGACGCTGGCCACCGGATACTTCACCCGGAGGGGAGCCCTCCCCGGAGGACTCTGGCCCCCTCCTCTCCGCTGACGCTGCCCCCGCCTCAACTCCAGTCGGCGAGGGGAGCTGTTGACGCGGGGGGACGAACGGACCATAGGCGCCCGGGCCTGAGAACATTGACGGAAGGGGCAGCGGCTGTGGCTCCAGCCACTGCGGGCCGGTCGACGGGAGCGGAGGCGGTTGCCAGGAGGGCAAGGTCGGCTCAGACAGAGATGGGGGGCGCCCGTGCGGATCAGGCAGCTGGTAGGTGGACTGAGGATGAGACTGAGCTGGGGACGGAGGCCGGGGAGGGAAATTCTGAACGAGGCCAGAGAGAGGTTGGGGGCACGCTGTCGGATATGGCGCACGATCTGCTGGCGCCGCCGGTGGAGGTTGGAAGCGCGCTTCCGCAGGGGGGGCAGCAGCAGGGTGGCGCATGGCCGGAGCCCCCTGCATGTGGGCGCACAAGCTCTCTAGCACGGCGGTATTCCGAGCAAGGGATTGCTGCAGGGCGGCGGCCCCGCCCCCGCTCGCCCCGCGATGGGCTTTCCCGCCACGCCAACCCCGCCGTTGCCCGACGCGGTCCCGCCCTTCCGTGCGGCGAGGTGGCTGTGAGGGGGCTACCACCGCCGGGGTCGGCGTCGTGGTGACTCCTGCCGACTGGTGCGCTGGCGGAGGGGCTCCCCCCCCCGCAACGACTGTGGCGGACGGACCGGCGACGGGGGACGCGATACTGCCTGGCGGGGCGGCACCAACGCCAGTGGGACGGAGCTGCGGCCGGGCGGAGGGGTTTCCGAACGACTCTCGCGATGCGGTGGGGTTGATGTACAGCTCCCTGCCTGGTCCGGCGATGCAGGGTGGTCTGCTGCAAGGGCGAGGAGACCGCGCTCCCACCGCATGTCCGAGTGAACAGCGGGCGGTTTCGCCGGACCTAGGGGTGGGGAGGCACTCTCCCCGGAGCCCTCAGGACCAGCCGATCGCTCACGACGAGGGCGGACACCAGGGACGGCGTTCCGCACCCGCTCCATCGCCGCCCGTAATGGGCGCGGCGGCGGCGGCGGCGGCGGCGGCGTTGGAAGACTCGCGCAACTCGACGCCCAGAACTCGGGCGATGAGCCGGGCTGCGAGGGGCTCGGCGGGGAGATCACCCACGGCCCGGGAGCACCGGGCGCACGGAACGGCTGGACGAGGCCGCGGGCGCAGGGGACGGCGGAGTGCTGGTGGACCAGCCAATGGCTACCAGCAGGCGGCTGTGCGGGCTTTAAGGGAACAGGAAAGGAGGAGAAGAACTGAGGATGACGAACAGAGAGATCTGACTTATACCCCCGACGGACAGTCCGACTCCCCCACTGGCAGCTCAGAGGCGGATGTGGAAGATGAGGAGCGTAGAAGGAGATCTGAAGGACGACCGCGAGGGATTAGAGGTCCCAGATCTCAAGGAGGCCCGCCAAACCTAGGGCGGAATATCCGTGGGGCGCTAGAAGCAAACAGCCAACCACGGCGAACGTACTCGCCGCAAGAACTGGCACTCGACGCATCCAGATTCGCCGAGGTCGCCAGCTGGGAAATGTCCCCCCTTTGCGACAGTCGCCAGCCCCCGTTATCCCGCAAACTACCCCCCAAACTTCGCCCCCTTTTCGCCCTGGCGTTACTGACACCACTGCTGCACCTCGGCGAAAATTGGTCCTCGCTGGCAGGATGGCGCCTTTTCCTCCTGACACCAAGATTAACCCTTCGGCTCGACTCCCCGAAACGTCCAAACTGGACCCACGTGGAGGATCGTCTGAAACAATTCATGCGCGGCGAATGGCAGGAACTTAACCAGGCAGCAGTCGGTTCAATCCACAACCCCCCACCGCCACGTCACAACCCAGACACCGTCGGCAAAATATCTCGCGCGGAAGGTCTCGCGCGACGTGGCAGCCTTCGGCGTGCCCTGCTGGCGCTAGAGTCGTCGCCCGTCCAGGAGTCAACCACCGAGACCCTCAACGCTTTGAAATCAAAACACCCACCAGCGTTGACCGAGTCAATTGCGTGGCCATCTGAGGACGACATTGGCGCCGCGGTCCAAATCCCGCGCGAAAATTTCGACAAGTTACTGCGTACCTGCGAAAACGGCGTTGGTGCAGGACCCTCGGGCACGACGTTCGAGCATCTTCGTGACGCAGCTCTCGCCAACCCCGCCGTCGCGACCACGCTCCACTCCCTCATCAACCACATGCTCAAGGGTGACTTACCAGCAAATGTTGCAGATCTTCTCACCGCCTCCCGCCTCCTTGCCCTAACTAAACCCGGAGGAGGCACGCGACCCATCGCTATCGGCGAAACAATCTACCGCCTGGCAGGCAAAGCGGCCCTTTACTCCTCAGCCGAACCTGCCCGCAGCCACTTCCTCCCCCTCCAATTCGGGGTGGCCGTCACGGGAGGGGGCGAGGCCATTATTCACGCCGCACGTGCCTTTGCCTCAGAGCTCCCGGAGTCGCTGATCGTCCAGGTCGATCTCGCCAACGCGTTCAATAGCGTCGATCGCGGGGCGATCGTGGCGGGACTCATAGGCACATCCCTCCGGCACCTCCTGCCGTTCGTCAAATTCTCCTATGGCCATCCATCGCGCCTACTATTTGACGCAGGGTTTGGTAGCGCTACCCTCCTCAGTGAGCGCGGGGTCCGCCAGGGAGACCCGCTCGGTCCATTACTCTTCGCCGCGGCTATCCACCCCGCCCTCCGCGCCACGGCGGACGCCCACCCCTCTATCCTCTGCCTCGCCTACGTCGATGACATCTCTTTCCTCGGTGACCCAGCCGAGTGCACCTCCGCCTTTACACACTTCACAGCCGCCCTCGCCGACCTGGGCCTCTCCCACAACCCTGATAAGTGTGCCGCCTGGTCGGCGACACGACCGGCCCCGCACCTGCTGCCGCCGGCGATCCCCTTCCGCACGGACGGCCTCCGGGTGCTCGGCAGCCACATCGGGCCCCCGGAGGGGGCCGCCGCCTTCCTTCGGGCCCAGCTCGCCTCCATGGCCTCCCCCTTACCTATCCTGGCCATCATGGACCCGCAAATCGTGTCCTTACTGCTCCATCGGTGTATCTCGCGCCGAGTCTCCTACCTCGTGCGCACGACACCGGTGAACCTGCTCCCGACAGCCGAGTGGTCCAGGTGGGGGCGGGACCTCTTCTACACGCTCCTGCGGGCAAGCGGCCTACAGACGCCCCGAGGGGAATCTGAACAGCTCCGCACCTGGGCCCAAGCTTCACTACCGCCCTCACTAGGAGGCCTTGGCCTAGCGGACCCTGTGGTTGAAGGCCCGCACTCCTTCTTGACCAGCACCACCCGCGCCCATGCCCTCCTCGCCTCTCTGCCCACCGCAGCCGCCAGCCCCCTTTCAGCGGCACTCCGGCCCTTGGCGCCTCCGTACTCCAGCCCCACCACCCTTCATACCTGGCTGACGGAGTGTGAGGCGACGCTGCCCCCACGCGCCCTTGAGCTTCTACAGTCGGAACGAGCGGAGGCGTCCGAGGTACCTTTGCAGCACCGCCTGTCTCTGGAGGTCCAGGCAGCCCGCTATGCCGACCAGGTAGAGGCCAGCCGCAGCATGCCGTTGAACCCCAACAGCGGCCATACACAGCGCCTTTTCTCCCTCACGGGGTATGGCGCGGGGGACTGGCTCCTAGCCATCCCTCTATTCCCTTCCCTCCGGCTTACACCCCCGCACTTCGCGATCGCCCTCGCCTTTCGTCTGGGCCTCCCCCTCCCTGTCCCGAGGGTCTGCAACTGCGCCAAGCGGGTGGAAATCCCCGACCCGCGTCTCCCAAACCACCTGCTCCGCTGTGGGACAGGGCACGGACGCACTAATACACACAACGCTCTCCGGGACGAGTGCACTCGCATGGCACGAGACGCACAGTTCACCGTCGAGAAAGAAACTGCCACCTATACCCCCATCGGCGACCAGACTGCCGACCTGGCAATCCGGGACCGTGACTCGGGCGCAGTATGGATCTGCGACGTCACCGTCACCGACCCGATCAGCAGCCGCGATCCCCTGGCACGGAAAGGGAGGGGGTACATGGCGCGGGAGCAAGCGGACAAGAAGATAGACCACTATCGCAACCGCGCGCCGTACGTCGGTTTCTTCCCCCTCGCCGTGGAGACCTACGGGTGCCCCTGTGCCGAGGTGCCCGCTTTCCTACAGCTCCTGGCCCATACTGGCGCCCGCCGCCTCTTCAATGCGAACCCGACCTCGTACCAGGCCGCCAAGCTGCTCAACTAGTTTCGACAGCGATGGTCGGTCACCCTCCAGCGCGGACAGGCCCTTTCATACCTCGGCAAGGTCAACGAAGCCGCCCCGCTGGAACGACCTGTCCTCGGGGCGCCAGATGACGGCATGTCTCTCGGGGACTGTTTCGTCATTCTGGAATCTGCGGGGGAACCTAACTCAGTTTAGCTGGGGGAGGGAGAGCGGTTTTAGGCTGCATGCCCGTTCCTGACCCACTTGGCTAGCTCTGTACTCAGGTTCCTAATGAATGCAAAGGACCGCTTGAGAGAGAGAGAGGGGTGAAGAAAAATCTCGAGAGAGATTAGTTTGCTGCACAACCACAATGCCACTAGCAAAGCACCGCATAACCGTGGAGCTAACCAGTTGCGGATGAAAGAGAAAAAAGTGGAGAGGCGAGAGGAGAAGGAGAGAACAGAAGTGAGGGATCGCTGTATGTCTTGTGCTGCACTTCAAGGCTGCCATTATGGAACCCCTCGTTGCATGATTATGAGAGAGAGGGAAAAGGGAATGGAGAAGCGATAAGGGAGGGAGAAGAAGAGGTAGTGGAAAGCAAGAGGGATGAGACGAAGTGCAAAAGGAAATGGTTGGTTTGAATGGAGTCAGAAGGAGAGGAGGATGCAGAATGAGTCTATTTGCGCCTAAAGAAGTCAGAAGCAGGAGCAGGATGCGCCTAAAAAATAGATCAGGATGGAGAATGGGACACGATATGGAGAAATGAGTGTTTTTGAGAATTCTCAAAAACACCCTGCAAAAGGAGTCTATTTTTGAGGCGCCTCAAAAACACCCTGCAAAATCAAGAGAATGAGACACGCGATGGAGAAAGGAGAATAGGTCAGAGGGAGCACACAATGACACACTTGAAGACAAGTGCTAAATGTCACGCTGAATTTGTATTTAATGCATGATACAGCTCCAAACGAAGTCCTATAACTGGTTTTGCAATTACTAAGTTCTAGGTCCGACCGACTCACGAGTTGAACGAGGACCAGAGGGAGCACGCCTTGAGAAGATCGTCTGGTGAGATGAGCTCTGCGGAATGTAAGCACACACACACACACACACACACACACACACACACACACACACACACACACACACACACACACACACACGGAGAGTGAGGGATATGCAATTTGAGGGATGGAAACACACATAGGGAGTGAAATGAGCTCGCAGAATGTAAGCACACAGACAGTGATATGCATGCAAATTCACAGAGCTGCATAAACACATAATTGCAGAGTCACAAAACCACATAAGACGCTGAGTTTTATGACCCTGAATTTACTTACAACTTGATACATACCCTATAGGTGCATTTTGAGTCCATTCAAAGTTCTTAAACACCTGCTGCTTTGACCCCAACCAAAACGAATTGCCAGTAACTATGCTTCTTGGCCTTCCAATCACTTGAGATGCCTAAAACATCTATGCCGTGCTTTTGCCTCTCTAAAAAACAGCTATCCCGTGATCATCCTGAAACAGTTACTTTACAGGATGGGTTGAGCCTCTCATCCCATGCCTTTGCCTCTCTTCCCGTACCTGAGCCTCTCATCCCGTACCTGTGCTACTCATCCCGAACCTGTGCCTCTGGCTCGGTTGAATATGCAGTACACGTCGACCAATAGCATCGTGCCACCTGTCTTCTCCAGCACTGGACCAATGAAGTCTGCAAGCTGGGGGGAAGGGGTGAAAAAAAACACACAGGCTTTAACCCTCTGTTTAAAACAGGCGAGACGAACGCATGCAGGCAGGTATCCTAGGGATGGATTCCTCAACGCTCAACCGCCGGTTCTGAATCGATGGTTGAGGCACCTAGAGGGGGCCCTGCCCAGCACCCCTTGCTCCCTGCACTGAAACGATGGTTGAGGCACCTAGAGGGGGCCCTGCCCAGCACCCCTTGCTCCCTGCACTGAAACGATGGTTGAGGCACCTAGAGGGGGCCCTGCCCAGCACCCCTTGCTCCCTGCACTGAAACGATGGTTGAGGCACCTAGAGGGGGCCCTGCCCAGCACCCCTTGCTCCCTGCACTGAAACGATGGTTGAGGCACCTAGAGGGGGCCCTGCCCAGCACCCCTTGCTCCCTGCACTGAAACGATGGTTGAGGCACCTAGAGGGGGCCCTGCCCAGCACCCCTTGCTCCCTGCACTGAAACGATGGTTGAGGCACCTAGAGGGGGCCCTGCCCAGCACCCCTTGCTCCCTGCACTGAAACGATGGTTGAGGCACCTAGAGGGGGCCCTGCCCAGCACCCCTTGCTCCCTGCACTGAAACGATGGTTGAGGCACCTAGAGGGGGCCCTGCCCAGCACCCCTTGCTCCCTGCACTGAAACGATGGTTGAGGCACCTAGAGGGGGCCCTGCCCAGCACCCCTTGCTCCCTGTTCTGAAACGATGGTTGAGGCACCTAGAGATCACCTCATGAGCAGGGAGCAAGGGGTGGAAGAAACAAAGCGACGCCCATGGTAGGGGGAGATCAACGCACCTCTCAGGATAACTCCCTCTGGTATACCACCCCCGCTGTCTCCTTGGTGTCTAACGACTTGATAACCATTCTCAGCACCAGGCTCACAGTATGGTGCTGAGTATAGAACGCACCTCTCTGGACAGCTGCCTGTGGTGTGCTGTCTCTTTGGTGACTGGCGATTCAACGCCCTTTCTCAGAAGGAAGCTCATAGTAAGGCAGATTGACAAATACAGTATGGTACTACTACTACTAAGTACAGCACCCACCTCTCTTGACAGCTGCCTGTGGTAGAGCACGCTTGCTGTCTCCTTGGTGACTGGCGACTCAATACCCATCCTCAATAAGAGATCTTGAAGCTCTTCCGATGATGCTGCTGGTGCTGCTGATGAGGAGGAGGAGGAGGAGGAGGAGGAGGAGGAGGAGGAGGAGGAGGAGGAGGAGGAGGAGGAGGTTGGAGAATGGTAAAGAGGGAGAGGGAATCAACGCACCTCTCTTGACAGCTGCCTGTGGTAGAGCGCCCCCGCTGTCTCCTTGGTGACCGGAGACTCGATACCCATCTGTAACAGCAGATCTAGAAGTTCCTCCGATGATGCCACCGCTGATGAGGAAGAGGAGGAGGGGGAAGGAGCCATCTCCCCACTTGCTGTTGATCCCCCTTGCTGCTGCTGCTGCTGCTGCTGCACTTTCTGTCGCATTCTCTCTGCCAATTTCACCATCTCGCTCGCCTTGGCCTGCGTGGAAGAATGGGTGGGGAACGGGACGACATGTTAGGTGCCATGCTCGCTGCTGCTGCTGCTGCTGCTGCTGCTGCGCGCCCTTGTTGCTGCCCTTGCTCGCTGCTGATCCCCCATACTGCTGATCCCCCATACTGCTGATCCCCCATACTGCTGATCCCCCATACTGCTGATCCCCCATACTGCTGATCCCCCATACTGCTGATCCCCCATACTGCTGATCCCCCATACTGCTGATCCCCCATACTGCTGATCCCCCATACTGCTGATCCCCCATACTGCTGATCCCCCATACTGCTGATCCCCCATACTGCTGATCCCCCATACTGCTGATCCCCCATACTGCTGATCCCCCATACTGCTGATCCCCCATACTGCTGATCCCCCATACTGCTGATCCCCCATACTGCTGATCCCCCATACTGCTGATCCCCCATACTGCTGATCCCCCATACTGCTGATCCCCCATACTGCTGATCCCCCATACTGCTGATCCCCCATACTGCTGATCCCCCATACTGCTGATCCCCCATACTGCTGATCCCCCATACTGCTGATCCCCCATACTGCTGATCCCCCATACTGCTGATCCCCCATACTGCTGATCCCCCATACTGCTGATCCCCCATACTGCTGATCCCCCATACTGCTGATCCCCCATACTGCTGATCCCCCATACTGCTGATCCCCCATACTGCTGATCCCCCATACTGCTGATCCCCCATACTGCTGATCCCCCATACTGCTGATCCCCCATACTGCTGATCCCCCATACTGCTGATCCCCCATACTGCTGATCCCCCATACTGCTGATCCCCCATACTGCTGATCCCCCATACTGCTGATCCCCATACTGCTGATCCCCCATACTGCTGATCCCCCATACTGCTGATCCCCCATACTGCTGATCCCCCATACTGCTGATCCCCCATACTGCTGATCCCCCATACTGCTGATCCCCCATACTGCTGATCCCCCATACTGCTGATCCCCCATACTGCTGCTGCACCTTCTGCCGTGTTTAGTTTTGAGGCGCCTCAAAACTAGACTCCTTCTGCTGTGTTCACTTTCCCCACTTTCACCATCTGGCTTGCCTTGGCCCTTGGCCTGTATGGGTATATCAGCTTCAACATCATTCGTCTGAGTGTATTTAAAGGAGCCTATACCTCATCTCACCATGAGCGCGTTGAGGTCAGCAAACGCCTCCTGCAAGATCCTATATCTGTGGTGGCCTGCTTCTGCTCCGCCTCTCTCCTCCTAGTCTTACAAAGGGAACGCTTGGTGGGCTTTAAACAGCATAATCTCGCAACTCACCATGAGCGCATTGAGGTCAGCAAACGCCTCTTGCAGGCTCCTATCTGTGGCTTGCTTCTGCTCCGCCTCTCTCCTCAGAATCCCCCCAACCCCCGCCATTGCTGTGCTAAACTGCACCGGGGGATTTCCCCCTGCTCCCCCAACTGCCCCGATTCCCCCAACGCCTCCCCCAGCTCCCCCCGGCGCTCCCCCTGGTGGCCCCATTTCCCCGCTCCCATACCCCCCGCTGCCCCAATACAGGGGGTTCGTTCCGCCAGTTGCTGGTCCCCCCATTCCGCCCCCCCCATGTGCGCCAAGCGCTGCTGCTGCTGCGCCGATTGTCGGGGCGGGGGGAAAGGGGGAGGCGGCAGCAGGGGGAGGTACGCCTGGGAAAGGTGCCGTCTGCCATTTTCGAGCCGCTAAAGCGTCGTTTAGTTTCTTAAGGAACACGTCAGTTGGAGCCTGGCCTCTTAGAACGGCTACTAAAGACGCGGTTCGTCCTGAATTTACTGTGCTACTGCTCTGGCTATAGCTTGATCCGTTGTAGTTGCTGCTGCCAATGGCAGAAGACGACAAAACCGCCCGCCCTTGGGGATCTAGCAAGATGTAAATGCGAACGCGAGGGGAGGCGAAAACGGAGGTGAACCCTCGCCGCCCTGCGACGGAAGCATTCGCGATGGCGACGAGGGGTAAGGCGAAAGCCCGTTTCGGGTTACCAGCCGTCGCTGGCCGTTCGTCGATCCAGATCAGACGGTGCGTCGTGAGCGACGCCACGCCATCGCGAAGCGACTCCGCTTCGAGAACGTTACCGGAATTTGCGGCGGGATGTGCGGCGGAAGAACCGGGCGTTTCCTCCTCGAATTCTATCCCGGCGTCATCGATTAAGAGGCTCTCTACTTCGCCCGGGAAGAGCACGGGTCGGCCGGACGGAGTTAAATATACGGGATGCAATAACCGCTCCGCCAGGGGAGCGGAGGTGGCACGTTGGTGAGGCATTATGGCGGAAGATTCGAAAATCACTCAGAGACGCGTTGCTCGTATGTAAACCGTGGCGGCATCTGAACGTCGTGGCTATTTATCAAGAGACTGCATACACCATGGTTTACCTGTCTACCCTCTTTTCTAGCTTCTCGGCCAGCTGTGTCAACTCCTGGCTAGCATGAGTCATTCACACTGGATACCGATTTGAGAATCGCGACCATCTTCATCTTCATCTTCATCTTCAGTCAATCGCTCTGCGCTGAACGCCATATCTGACATGCGCCTTGCAGGCAGTACTTCACTTCCATAGTTCGCTCTGCCGCTACAATTACCGCTTATCACTTACATTTTCCACATTGCATTGCATATCCTATTTTCACAGCTTTGGAAGCTGTGCCATATTCCGCTTACTATGCGTAGGTGCAACCTACAACCTGCATGATGTACACGCTAATGCATCACTCGACCCTACCGTGTCACACCACCATTATGGGTAACAGCTTGACGAATGCGTATAAGCCTTCACCTATGTGAGGCAAGGTCTAGGAAATGCCCGCTTCACCTGGGAGTCACAAAAACCTTCAGTCCGTTCGTCATGGAGAGAGTGAGCGACATACTGTATTCGACCTTGTGACCAGGTGCAACGGCGAGTCGGAAAAAACGGACTGTGCTGGCAACAATAGACTTCATCTGCGAGCATCATTGATTCATAATGGTCAGAGCATGCAAATGCGAAAGTTGATGAACCAGACTGCGCCGGCTGCAAAACAACTATACCTGAAGATAGGCGAGGTCTCTTCCAAGGCAGAGGCGAGGCCCAGCATTGAAGGCAGGGAACTTGAAAGGCGACTCATTGATTAACTCGCCATTGCTATCAAACCACCGCTCTGGCTTGAAATCTCTCGCGTCGGGCCCCCAGATGCGAGTCATGCGACCCATTGCGTAAATTTCATACTGGACTCGCCAGCCACTCTTGACATGTGTCCCATCTGGAAGCACGTCATCCTTAACAACATGCCTGCAATGCAACCAATAAATCTTGTAAGCATGCCTTCTGGAAGGAGAGAAGCGCTGTAAAAAGACTGCAATTGTCTTCACTCACTTGAAATCCGCTGGAACGGATGGATATAGACGAAGTGCCTCAGCTATTGCTGCGTGCACATACTTCATTTGCTTCAGCTCTTCATAGGTAAATGCACCAAAACTCTTGTCACCTGCAGGTGCAGCTATAGAGAGTCACACCACTGCTTTGTATATCACAAGCCAATGTAATCAACACTCGTGCACCTCCACACGCAATAATAGATGACCCACCTTCACGTGCAGCAACAATGGATTGCACTTCCGCCAGGATATTTTTTTCCACAGTTGGGTGCCACGTCAGCAGCCAGAACAGCCAGGTCATGAGGACAGACGATGTATCCCTTCCAGCAAGAATGAAATTCGTGCAAACATCCCTGAGAAAGCTTTCGGAGTAGAGCTGGCCACCGTCATCCTTCTCAAGAAGCATCATCCTGTGTCCAAAACAAATGCACACTGAACTGTTGGTACATGTAACATGGAATATACATATTTGGGCATAAAAAGATGCAATCACCTGGAGAGGATATCTGAATGGTCAGTTACAGCGCCATCGATTGCATACTGTTTCTTTTCACTTGCCAGCTCAACACGCCGATTCCTGATAACTTCCTCTGCAAAAGTATCGATTGTCTGCACCAAAAAGCAGAAGTGAAAGGGTGATTGAGGGATGGATGAACGAGAGCAATGGGTGGTGCGGAAGAATTGAAGAAGATGCTTCGCGAATGGCCATACCTTCACAGCAGAGTGAAGCGTGCCTTCTTGGAACAAACGAAGGAACCTGAATGCCTTCCAGACAAACTCAGGAATCAAGTTTCTGAAGAGGGTCGCCTGAAGAGAAAGAAAGACACCCAAAAAGTTAGAAATTCAAATATTGCAGCAACGTACAGACTTGATGTATGCAACAGAATCATACCTTTGTGGCCTCATCAAATGCTCTCGCAAATGGGACTTCCGGAAGTCCTGGCTCAAGGCAGCCAGGGTCAACACCGAAACCAATTCTGCATATATTATCGAAGGTATATCGCAGCAGAATATCTTGAAGGTCCACCGGTGTTCTCGTCACAGAAGCCTGCCATTTACAGAAGCCAATCAGAAGGACGGGAAACATTATCCTCACAATCTAAGCAGTCACTTGCCTTTCAGGCACTACCCACCTATGCCTTCCGCCTAACTTACCTCTGCCAAGGTGGGGATGAAACGCTGAAGAAGCTCTTCTTGAATCGAGACCATCATGAGGTCTCTGAGAGACCTGTTGGAAAACTCAAGGCTGGCAGTTTTGCGTTGCTGCCTCCAGACATCATCATCGCTGTTGAATATGCCATGACCGAGAAGGTCCTCGAAGTTGGTCTGATTTGGAGGGGGGGGGGAATCGTTAGCAATGCCTTACAGGAAGCTGTCATGCAGATGCTGAGAAATCCATTATAATTTTACCTGGAAATTCGGACCCTTCGGGTAATTCGCGAAATTGGTCTTGAGGATGTGCTCCAGGTTCTTAGGGTTGGCAGTGACGACTTCATTGAGGCCAGGCGCTAGCGAGATGTAGGTCATAGTGGGACTAGCCTGATCAGGATCAGAACTTCCGTGAGTACGATGATCACCTGAAGGGAGCGAACTCACAGTTGTTGCTTAGGAGCAAAGTCAATTTGAGGATTCACCTCGAGATAAGATGTCGCCCAGTCATAAAGATACGGAAACGCCAGAAGCATTTCAGGCAAAGTGCCGAGAATTGGCCACGCGGGAGGACCATAGCCTAATTTCTGCTTGTATGATGCGAGCAACCAGAAGATCGCAAGGATGAGAGAAAGGATCACGAGGCTGGGAGCTAGGACCACGAAGCCGTTCAAGACGTTCACTCTCTCCTGATAACTGACGAGCGACAGAAGAGCCATTCTGCTGCAGCGACAACGCTGCTATCGAACAAGCCAAATCAACTTTTTCAGATAATCGTCGTCGGTTCGGCGATTTAGTATCGAACGCTGGCGAGGGAAAGGTCCAGTGTCGATGACTCGATGCTGGACCGTACGATCCGCTGACTCGGCGACGTGGCGACGACATCGCATTCTGACCGTGCGACAGATGATGAAGTCGCCGACACATATCTGTTCCTGTCCGGCTCTGGACAGAACTGATGGTTTTCTTGCAACTTGAAGATGGCAATAGGCTCGCTCGAGGCATGTGATATGAGCCCATACCAAGCTACACGACGCGAGATTTTTTTAAAATTCTCTCGGGCAACAGTCGCCTTGATGTTGACGCAAGGTGACGGCTGACGTTCAGGACGAGGCTGCCCTTGTTCTCCAGGGGAGGAAGGATGACTTGGTTCAAGCAAGGGGTAGTGGTACAGCGTTCTTGTGTGGTCTAGTAGGAACAAACCGTGGTACAGTGTGGTGAGGGCTCGTACAACCCGCATTTGAACACACCCCTCCTCTCGATATCAATAACTATACCCCTGTTCCCAAACACAAGAAGCTTCTTGTGCGAAGCGATACAGATCCGAGTTACTCATTTGTAATGGCCGTCGAAAGGATATCTGACAAGTGAACTACACCCTGGGTTTCACCTTGGTACTCGAGTTGCGTTCTTGCTTCACCACAAAACTACAGATGGGCTGAACTCTTAACGAACCAAGATGACCCTCAATTTGCGCTGTCATTATAGATACGTCTTGAATAGTGCCCTGATTGCAACCTCCTTTCCCAGAAATGCAGGTTGCTGCTTTCTAGGCGCTTGGTGCTTGGATTCAGGTTCATGATTTTGTGAGGGATTCCAGCTGCATGCCAGCAGGTCAATCAAGGGCAATTCCGTCGAATCCAACGAGTGCTTTTCATTAGATCGCCATGCTCTCCTTCGCGTTCTCGATATCAACGAGGCTTCCGATTTTACGAACAGGTCGCCTTCCTTTTCGTAGTATCACTCTCCTTAGAAGGCCACAAAAGCATACCGTTACACGTGTAACATCGCAGCAGAACGATAGAATACGGCTGCAGAGTCAACTAGGGCAGGGGAATCCCATTCCGCGTCCATGGCCCAGGGAACATCGACAGCAGCAAGCGCAGCAACATCGGTCACAGTCACAGAATCATCTCACCTTCCCTAGCACACCCCAGGATCAGCAACGGCAGCAGCAGCTGTTCCTACAGCCACTGCTGCCGTTTCTTGTAGCACCTTCTAGGCTACCTACAGTTCAAGTTCGTGCAGCTTCGCAGCTTGTTGTAGCCGCTGCAGGGAGGCTCGGGCAGCCCAAGAAAAAGAAAAAAGGCAAGGTGGTGTTCGTGTGCAATGAGTGCGGAAACGATCACCCGCAGTGGTGGGGCCAATGCAACGCTTGTGGCGCGATGGGCAGCTTGAAAAGGTTCACAGAGACCGACGATGAGCCGGGGTCCGGAAGTGGAGGTGGGGGAGCTGCAATCCGGGCATTTCAAAGATCCCGGGAAAAAACCAGCAGCCAGGGGAAAAGCGATGATTTGAACAGGGGAAGAGCAGAGGAGGCGAGGAGCAGTGGTAGGAGTGGGGTGAAGAGCCCTGGTGGCAGTAGCAGTACCGGTTCTCGGCAGTCCTCTGTTGCTGTTGGTGTTAATTCACATGGGGTGGATGGCACAGCAGAGCAGGAGGAGGAAGAGGAGGATGGGGAGGACGGGGGGGATTCGGAGGATGATGTTGAACAGTACAGCACGGGCGGGAGGTCAAGGAAAAGTAACTTTGGCGGCTGGGTTGATAGCAATAGTTATGGCAGGTTTGGGAATGCGGGTAGAGGCAGCGGCAGTAGCAGCCTGCGCAGGGCACGGGCACGGCCGCTGAATGATGTCATCGAATCAGCTGGCGACAGCTGGAAATTCCTTATGTAAGCAGCACGTGCGTTGGGTGACATTGTAACGAGGTGACTGTTGAATCAACTCAAAAGGCACGGCCGCTGCATCAAGTCATCGAATCAGCTGGCGACAGCTGGAAATTTCCTCTGTAATCAGCAAGTGCGTTGGGCTGAATTGGTCTCTTCCTGTCCTCAAGTCTACCGGTGCCAGAGTTTCTTAATCACTCTTTCATGGTTGTTATGCTTTGAAGCTGTTTCATTCAATCTCTACATCTCACCACACTCCACCATGAATCTATTCGCTCCTATGTTTTCCCTTTCGTTTTCAAGAAAATATTATTCTTTGCTTGCTTCCTTCCTTCCCCTTTGTATTTCTTCCCTCCATCCCTCTCTTCCTCACACCATTTCCCCCTTCGCCGTTTTGCATTGCGTGCTTGTCGCTGCTTGTGCCTGTGCCTGTGGCAGAAAGGGGCCGGAGGGAGAGGAGATATGCAGGGTGCTGGGCGGCGGGGTTGTGATGGGTGAGTGTGAGGGACATATGATTGGCGTTGGGTGTGGTTGGCGCATTGAGTGCGGTTGGCTCATTGAGTGTGGTTGGCTTATGAGTGGCGAATGCATAAATTGCCTACCTGCACGTGTGCCTGTGGCAGCAAGGGGCAGGAGGGAGAGGAGATATGCAGGGTGCTGGGCGGCAGGGTTGTGATGGGTGAGTGTGGTTGGGGGGGTTGAGTAAGGGAGGTGTGCGTGCATGCATGCGTGTGTAGGGGAAGGAAGGGGGTGGGGGAGAGGGTGGAGGGGGGAGAAAGGGTGCGTGTGTGCATTTGCTGACAAGAGCTTAACTCAGCCTAGTTGGTGATATTGGTAGTACACAGTTGGGGAGAAAGGGGGAGAAGAAGGGGGAGAAGGGGAGCGTGCACTTTGCTGAAATAGAGCTTAAATCAACCTAGTTGGTGCTATTGGTAGTACACAGTTGGGGAGAAAGGGGAATGCAGCTTTGAAAATGCTCCAGCTCTCTGGCAGCCTGGCAGGTTCCCTGGTGCTTGTGTCCAGCAGTCCCTTCTTGAGTCTGTGCTTGTTTTCTCAAATTTGGCTCTTCTGTCCTCGGCCCCTTCTCTCTCTTTTGAAAATGCTCCAACTCTGGCAGGTTCCCTGGTGCTTGTGTCTGGCAGTCCAGGTGCTGGGAAGAGCACACTCCTGCTTCAGGTGAGTTTCCTCCTGCTTCACTTGAGTGTCCTCCTGCTTCAGGTGACTGTCCTCCTGCTTCACTTGAGTGTCCTCCTGCTTCACTTGAGTGTCCTCCTGCTTCACTTGAGTGCCCTCTTGCTTCAGTTGCTGGGAAGAGCACTCCCCTGCTTCAGATGAGTTCTCAGATAGTCCTTGTCGCTCCCTTGCCTCAGGTGAGTGCGCAGGCAGTCGTTCTGTTACTCAGTTACGGTAATATGGCCCGTTACTCTTCCCTCTGTTTCCCCCAACTGTTTACCTCTTCCCCCCACCTGCAGCTGGCAGGACTGTTGACACAGGAGGAAAGAGGGCTGTCGGTGAAAGCCGTTACGTCGTAACCTTATACGCCCTACCCCCAACTTTTTATCTCTTTCCCCCACCTGCAGCTGGCAGGTCTTTTAGCAGGGGAGGCACGAGGCACGAGAAAGAGGAGGCAAAAGGGGTTATGGCGAAAGCCATTACGTCGTAACCTTAGTATGCCCCTCCCCCAACTGTTTACCTCTTTCCCCCATGCGTGAGGAGTCTATTTTTGAGGCGCCTCAAAAATAGACTCCTGCAGCTGGCAGGTCTTTTGGCAGGGGAGGCAAGAGGCACGGGAAAGAGGAGGCAAAAGAGGGCTTATGGCGAAAGCCATTACGTCGTAACCTTATACGCCACGCCGTAGCCTTATACGTTCTACCCCCAGCTGTTACCTCTTTCCCCCACCTGCAGCTGGCAGGTCTGTTGGCAGAGGCAAAAGGGCTGTTGGCGAAAGGCGTTACGTTGTAACCTTATATGCCCCTCCCCCAACTGTTGGCCGAGGAGGCAAGGGGCACGAGAAAGCCGTTACGTCGTAACCTTATGTTCCCTACCCCCTACTGTTACCACTTTCCCCCACCTCACCTGCAGCTGGCAGGACTGTTGGCCGAGGAGGCAAGGGGCACGAGAAAGCTGTTACGTCGTAACCTTCAAGTTTATGCCCTATCCCCAACTGTTGCCTCCTTCTCTTTCCCCCACCCCACCTGCAGCTGGCAGGTCTGTTGGCCGAGGAGGCAAGAGGCACGCGAAGTGAAGGATCGCCGCCTGCTGTTCTTTATGTGTCCGGGGAAGAGGTAGGTTTCGATTGTGGAGTAGACGTAAAAGGTGAGAGGGTGGCAGGCCTGGTTATAGAGGCAGGCAGCACGTGGGAGGAAGGCACACTTCCCCCTGGGTTCTACGTGTTGGTCCAGGAGGAGGTGGGTGTAGGTGGAGGAGTAGGCGTGAGAGGTGGGAGAGTACGGACTCTGGTGCAGACTCAAAGCGTGGGGAGGTTGACAAGCCATCTTGTAGCCGGCAGAGGAGCCAGGCAGCACAGGGGGGGGCTCCCGGGGGGGGGGGCTCCCCGCATGCTTCTCTCTATCTATGTGGCTGGGGAGGAGGTGGCTGTCGTGTCAATATTGGACTAGAGTAGTAGCTATACAACGGAGGGAGGATGCTTGGCTCTGCTGAGCAGCTGTAGCTGCAGAGGAGGCAGGCAGCAGGGGGGAAAGGCTCCCTGCCACCCATTTCCGTTTCCCGTTCCACGACCCTCCTGGAACCAACTTCTCCCCTCCAACTTCCTCCCCCCCCCCCACCCCTCTCTCTGCAGAGCGAGGAGCAACTGGCCAGCAGGGCCAAGCCGGGGGGCATCCGCAGTCCGCTTTGCACCGAACCTCTGCCCCCAACCCGCACACCACACACCACACTCCCCCCCTTCTCCACTGCACCCCACACCCCCCCCCCTTCTCCCGTGCAGCGCGAGGAGCAGCTGGCGAGCAGGGCCAAGTGGCTGGGCATCAACAGTGTATTTGATACACAACCCGCCTTTCTCCTCCCCCCTCCCATTATCCCCCCCCTTCCCCCCTGCAGCGCGAGGAGCAGCTGGCCAGCAGGGCCAAGCGGCTGGGCATTGCTGCTGACAACCTCTTCCTCTTTGCGGAGAACAACCTCGAGGTACCGAGGTATCTGCTGTTTGTGACGCCTTGGGTCCTCTTGTGCGTAGTACGCCCGTCCTGGATGCATTGCTTGCTCTTTGCTGCTGACAACCTCTTCCTCTTCTCGGAGAACAACCTCGAGGTACCGAGGGATCTGCCACTAGTTCAATCCACTTGTGCTTCGGAGTCCACTCCATGCCTTAAGCTGGCTGAGCATTGCTGCTGACAACCACTTCCTCTTCTCAAAGAACAACCTCGAGGTACCGAGGATGCCATACCACTTGCTTGAATGCACTTGCTTGAATGCGCTTGTGCTTCTGAGTAGATTTCGTGCCTTCTCGGAGAACAACCTTGAGGTGCCCCATTGTTCTCCGTGGCGTCGGGGCTGCCAGAGATTCCAGTGGTGCCCCGTTTTGTGTGTTTCTGGCCCACTGTCAGAAATCGGTTGCAAGTTGTAACCCACGAGACCATGTTCCCTTACTCCCTCCAGACCAGAGCATTCTGTTTCAATAAGTGCACTGAGGTTCAATAATACACTGAGGTTCAATAATACACTGAGTTTCAATAATACACTGAGTTTCAATAATACACTGAGTTTCAATAATACACTGAGTTTCAATAATACACTGAGTTTCAATAATACACTGAGGTTGTTTGAACACGTGCACTTGTTTCAATCCACTTCTCTGGAGGAGATAGCGGAGATTGAGCCTCGGGCTGTGATTGTGGACTCCATACATACAGACCACAAGGCCTCTCGTCCTATCCCCCCACTATGCCCCCCGTCCTCCCCTTCCGCTCTCCACTAGTGATTACACCCCATACATTGCCCCCACCATCACGTCTTCTTCCCCCCAGAGCATCCTGGAGGAGATAGCGGCGATTGAGCTGTGGGCTGTCATTGCAGATTCCAAAGAGACCACAGGGCCTCTCATCCTGTACCCCACTATCCCCCCCGCCCCTTTCCCTCTCCACTGGTGATTACACCCCGTACATTGCCCCCGCCATCACGTCTTCTTCCCCCCAGAGCATCCTTGAGGAGATAGCTTCGGTTGAGCCGTGGGCTGTCATTGTGGATTCCAAACAGACCACGAGGCCTCTCATCTCATCCTGCTCCCCCACTATGGCCCCCGTCCCTTTCCCCCCAGAGCATCCTGGAGGAGATAGCAGACCTTGAGCCACGGGGCGTGATTGTGGACTCCATACAGACCATGTTCCTGCCAGGTGTCAACAGCACATTGGGCAGCGTCAGCCAGGTGAGGGAAGGAGGGAGGGGAGGTAGGGAGTTAGAGAGGTAGGGAGGTAGGGAGGTGAGGTAGGGAGTTAGGGAGGTAGGGAGGGGAGGTAGGGAGGGAGGGAGGTAGGGAGGCAGGGAGGTAGGGAGGCAGGGAGGCAGGGAGGTAGGGAGGCAGGGAGGTAGGGAGGGAGGGAGGTAGGGAGGCAGGGAGGTAGGGAGGCAGGGAGGCAGGGAGGTAGGGAGGCAGGGAGGTAGGGAGGCAGGGAGGCAGGGAGGCAGGGAGGCAGGGAGGCAGGGAGGTAGGGAGGCAGGGAGGTAGGGAGGCAGGGAGGTAGGGAGGCAGTTTCTGACGCCTACAAAAACAGCCAGACCATGCACTTGCCAGGTGTCAACAGCACATTGGGCGGTGTCAGCCAGGTGAGCGGGGGAGGGAGGTAAGCTAGCAGCAGCAGCAGGAGAGTGATAAGGAGCGGAAAGAGAGACGCAGGAGACGGAGAGAAGAAGGAGGAGTGAGAAGCAGGAGGAGTGAGAAGCGTTTCTCAATATCGCTAGGGTTGTCACTAGCGTTTCTCATTAGCGCCCTTCCCTCCCCCCAGATGCGAGTGCTTGATGCTGAGGCTAATGCTAGTGCCCCTTGCAGTGCCACACTTGACGTTATTGCTGCCACTGTGGTTGTCATTGCCCCAATCCCTCCCCTCCTGGTGCAAATGCACCCTCTTATCGCTTCTGCTATTCGTAGTGTCACCCTTGATGCTACTGCTGTTGCTATGATTGTCATTGGCCCCTCCCCCACCCCCCCCTCCCCCACCCCCCCCTTTCAGGTGCGGGAGTGCACGCAAGTACTGCTGCTTGAAGCCAAGAACCGTGGCATACCCATCTTCATTGTAAGCTGCACTACTTGTGCGCACACAAATAAACCCCTCCAGTAAATTCTACCAAGCAATACCGTCAATACATCCGAAGCCCCGCAACAGAACAGAAGCAGGGGTTGTTTGCAGCAATACTATCAATGCAACCGAAGCCCCGTGGCACAAGGCGGAAGCCGAAGTGACTTTTGAGTCGACTCAAAAGTCACTTCGAAGCCCCGTGGCACAATTCGGAAGCCGGAAGCCACGTGATTAAAGCGGGGAATGTGGCATTCCCGGTTACACGCAGGAGCCATAAGCAGATGCACTCTCCCCGCCCCCACCTAATCACATTCACTCGCACCCTCTCATTCATCCTGCAATACTTTTTTAGAATTCTGAAAAACCAACTCAACTTTCTTATTCACACTGCATCACATTGACTCTCACTCTCCCCCCTGGCAGGTGGGCCATGTGACTAAAGCGGGGGATGTGGCAGGCCCCAGGGATCTGAAGCACATAGTGGATGTGGTTATGCACGTGGAGGTGAGTGCGTGGATGCGTGACTGTAACAGATGGGACACTAGAGACGCCGAGGCAGGTGCATGGCTGTACGAGTTGTGGTCGTGAGAGGTGGTATCAGGCGTGCTTACAGGCCACAGGGATGGGAAGCATACAGTTGATGTGGTTATGCACGTGGAGGTGAGTGGATGTGACTGTAACAGATGGGGCGCTATGGGGCACTATGGGGCACGTGCTTGCAAGCCCCAGGGACCTGAAGCACATAGCCGGTGCAGTGATGTTTGTGAGGGTGAGAGAAGAGAGACCCACTGTGGATACACACTAGGGACTAGGGGGTTTAGAGAGATTCGTTTTATTTTAGTCTGATGTGCCTTAGGGGAGACACTGTAGATGTGCAGGCCCAATGGATGGGAACTTTGCTGTGTGTGTGTGCGTGCATGCGTGTGTGTGTGTGCGTGTGCGCGTGCGTGTGTGTGTGTGCTTGTGTGTGTGCGTGCGTGCATGCGTGCGTGCATGCGTGCGTGCGTGTGTGTGTGTGCGTGCGTGCGTGGGTGTGTGTGTGTGCGTGCATGTGTGTGTGTGCGTGAGCGCGTAGTGGTGCCTCTTAAAATTCATATTAGAATTCTTGCTATTGCGGCCTCACCGATTTGGGATGCCCCATTCTAACTCGCTCGCTCACTCACCCATCCATCACCCATCACCTGCCTCACTAGAATTCCAACTCGCTCACTCACCCATCACCTGCCTCACTAGAATTCCAACTCGCTCACTCACCCATCACCTGCCTCACTAGAATTCCAACTCGCTCACTCACCCATCACCTGCCTCACTAGAATTCCAACTCGCTCACTCACCCATCACCTGCCTCACTAGAATTCCAACTCGCTCACTCACCCATCACCTGCCTCACTAGAATTCCAACTCGCTCACTCACTCACCCATCACCTGCCTCACTTCTCCCCACCCCCGTCCTGCCTTCTTTCCCCCCGATCTCCCTTTTTCTGCCTCTTTCAATCCCCACATCCCTTCCCTCTCCGCTCACAAACTATTTCACCCTCTCCGCTCCGCCAGAGCGACGGACAGCACAGCCACCGCATCCCTCCCTCGCATCATAATCGCATCGTTTTACTCCCATCCCATTCTCCCACCACCCCGCGCCTCCCCCTTGCAGAGCGATGGACAGCACCGCCACCACAGCCCTCCCTCGCATCATAATCGCATCGTTTTACTCCCATCCCATTCTCCCACCACCCCGCGCCTCCCCCTTGCAGAGCGATGGACAGCACAGCCACCGCATCCTGAGCACCAGCAAGAACAGATTCGGCTCCACTGATGAGGTGAGAGGCGGTGAGGTAGGATGCTGTGAGGTGAGAAGTGGTGAGGTGGGATGGGGGGGCATGCGACATTGTGAGCTGTTCCAAGAGAGGCAAGTCAGACTCGAAGAGGCTAGAGCAGCCAGATCAACGGCAGGCCTTATGTGCATAAAAGTCTCCCTCTTTTTTGTTCGCTTTTTTTTTTTTTTTTTTTTTTTTTTTCTAGTCATCTTTTCTTTTTGTCCCCTCTTCTCTGACGCCCCCTTCTACATACAAGGTCCTGGCACTTTCGGAAGGGCAGGGTCTTCCTGGCCCAAGCCTGGCCTTCCTCCCATTTAAACTGACAGCCGTCCCTTTGCCCCTCTCGCTCATTTGTCTGTGTGGGCTTTATCCACATGTGCCAGGTGTGCATGTTCGAGATGGCGTCTATTTTTTAGGCGCCTCAAAAATAGACTCCTCGCTCGTTTGTCTGTGCGGGCTTTATCCACATCACATGTGCCAGGTGGGCATGTTCGACATGGCGCAGCGGGGCATGGTGGCCATACCCAATCCGAGCCTGGCGTTTCTCCCATCAAGCCGCATAAGAGGGAGTGCAGCGGTGGCGGTGGTGATGCATGGGACGAGACCGCTGCTGCTGGAAGTGCAGGTGGGTTGACTGCGGTTGACTACAGTTGACAGTGGTGCTAGCATGTGTGTCTAGGTGCTTAGTAAGCAGTAGCAGCAGTGCTTGCTCAAGAGGGAGTGCGGTTGGCAGTGGTGTTAGCATGTGCTAGCATGTGGTAGCATTTGCTGGCATGTGCTAGCATGTGCCTCTACACGGACTGCTAGTCACAGGAGCAGCAGTGCACACAAGAGGGAGTGCAATGGTGGTGGTGGTGACGCATGGGACGAGACTGCTGTTGCTGCAGGTGCCAGGCCCTGTGTGAAAAGCCATCCCCAACATCCCGGGTGTTTTTGAGAATTCTCAAAAACACCCTGAAAAGCCATCCCCAACATCCCGGGTGTTTTTGAGAATTCTCAAAAACACCCTGAAAAGCCATCCCCAACATCCCGGGTGTTTTTGAGAATTCTCAAAAACACCCTGAAAAGCCATCCCCAACGTCCCTCCCACCAAGATCGCCATCGGCGTTAACATGTATCGCCAACGCAGTTGACGTGTATCGCCTCGCCATCCTCACTACAGTCCTTCCTCGCTTTCTTCCTCTCCTGCACTTTCCTCTTTACCCAACCGTCCTTTCCCCAGGCCCTTTCTGCGAAGGCCATCTCCAACATCCCGCCCACCAAGATCGCCAACACAGTTTGACATGTGGCGCCCTCGCCATCCCATGTCTTCCTCTCTTCGCCTCTCCCCCATCCGTCTATCCCTCTATTTCTCTCTCTCCCTATCTCTCTCTCTCTCCCTATCTCCCTCTCCCACCAGGCGCTGTGCGTGAAAGCCATCCCCAACGTCCCCCCCACCAAGATCGCCAATGGAGTTGACTTGTATCGCCTCACTATCCTCACCAAAGTCATGCGCCATATCGGCCTCTCCCTGGCCTATCGGGTATGATGCCCGTCGCGAAGAAGGCATTCAGTTCAGGCACCCTTTTCACAGCCGTCCTTCTCACTCACCATCCTCACCACAGTCATGCGGCATATCTCGGCATGCCTCTGGCCTCCCGAGTACTGATCTTCCTCCCTTGCACATGCCTCACCGACCGAGAACTATACTAGCTAGCCTCTTGCACATGGACTAGCTCGCTAATGTCCACCGCTAGCCATACCTCTCGCCCGAGCATTTTGGTCAATGTGGCGGGAGGCATGCAGATGGAGGAGGCATGCAGATGGAGGAGGCATGCAGATGGAGGAGGCATGCAGATGGAGGAGGCATGCAGATGGAGGAGGCATGCAGGTGGAGGAGGCATGCAGATGGAGGAGGCATGCAGGTGGAGGAGGCATGCAGGTGGTAAAGAAGCCCTCACGTTTGCTTGTCACCCTGTTGCCCTGTTACCTTGTTACCCTGTTACCTTGTTACCCTGTTACCATGTTACCCTGTTACCACATTATCCTGTTACCTTGTTACCCTGTTACCATGTTACCCTGTCACCACATTATCCTGTTACCTTGTTACCCTGTTACCTGACTGACTCGCATGGGCAGGAAATTTGGGTGGATGTGGTGGGAGGCATGCAGGTGAAGGAGCCTGCAGGTGGTGTAGAGGCCCTCACATTTTGCTTATCACCCTGATACCCTCTCACCCTGATACCCTCTCACCCTGATACATTGTTACCCTGTTACTTGACTGACTGGTATGGGCAGGACATTCTGGTGAATGTGGTGGGCGGCATGCAGGTGAAGGAGCCTGCAGCCGACCTGGCCATAGCAGTTGCCATCGCCAGCAGGTGTGGTGCTCTCTTCCTCAATGGCGAAGTGTGCTTGTATGCGTCTCTGCATGAATGCCTCTCCTCCCACTTCCACTGTTTCCCACGCACCTCGAGTGCCCTGCTCTCACGTCTCCCACCGTCCCCTCTCTGTATGTCTCCTGTGCTTTCACTCTTCTCATCATCCTTCTTTCCCCTTCCCTTCGCCATCCCCTGAATTCCCCCTTTCACTTCCTCCTGCCCCCCCTGCCCCCCCTGCCAGCCTGTACGAGTGCCCAGTGCCGGCAGACGCGGCGTTCATTGGGGAGATCGGACTCCAGGGGGAGCTGCGAGGGGTAAGGCGTGAGTGGGTGATGAGGGATTGGGGTACTGGGACATGCACCGTGACATGCACTGGGATATGCACTGGGACATGCACTGGGACATGGGAGTGCCCAGTGCCAACAGACGCGGCCCTTGTTGGGGAGGTCGGACTCCAAGGGGAGCTGCGAGGGGTAAGACATGGGTGGGTGATACGGGGCGTGTTGGTATGCACAATGCCTCGAAAATGGGAGCTTGTGTAGTGTAAGTTGTACGCCTGGGTACTTGATGAGGAAAGTATTTTCTAGCTGTCTCTGTCTTTCTCACCTGTGTCATTCGCCAGGTATCTCAGCTGGACCGGCGGGTAACAAGGTGGCAAAGCTCGGCTTTTCTCGCTGCATTGTATGATTGAGTGCGTGAGGAGGAAATTCCGTGCCTTACGATCTCCGTCCCCCTCACACGCTGCGTTCCTGCAGGTGTCTCAGCTGGATCGGCGGGTGAACGAGGTGGCAAAGCTGGGCTTTTCTCGCTGCATTGTCCCCGCTAGTCAGTGGAAAGGGCAAGAAGCGCCCAGTGGGTGTGAGGTGGTGAAATGCAAGGGATTACGCGATGTGTTGATGGCCGTAGGAATTCAAAGCACTGGGTATGGAGGCAAAAGGAAGGGTAAGGAGGAAATCGAATATGACGAAGATGAGAATTAGTGAATGCATCGCGAAGCTTGGTTTTTTTGCATTGCTTTGTCCTCACTCGCTAAGCAGTGGAAAGGGAAAGCAGAGCCGAGCGGGTGAGGTGTTCAATTGTGAAGAGCTGAGACATGCATTGAATTCTGTAGGATTTCCAAGCAAGGGCTACGGAGGCAGAAGGAAGGGTAAGGAAGTTGAGAAGGATGGTTTGTTGTGATTTCTTTATGTTATTGGATCGTCTTTGTGCTAACTAGGTGAAGCACCCTGGTTTAGTGCATTTTGTAACATGTGCCCCGGAAGTTCAACAACTCTGGCGAAGGTGGAAACATGCTGGATGTTGGATTCGCGTCGTACAATTCGCTGAACCCTCGCCTGATTGGTCGCGATGGTCCTGACACGACATCGCAGTCTTCGTACAGTACATCGTTCGGACGTGTATCGTATTGTACCGCCCGGTGAGGAAAACGTGCGTACGCCCGGTCGTACCCTTCTCTCCCCGTACGGCTCGTCGGATAAACGGCGTCGATTGATCTCCGCCCAACAATCCCAATGATCTGACGGCAATCGCCAAGGCAATCTCTGACAACTGAGTAGATTCGTGACGTCACGGTGTGGATCCTGTGACACCAGGAATCTGTACCGCTGACGTCAGCGCCTCCTATTGCCGTATTTGCGGGGCCACTACAACAGCCGTTGCCCTGTGACGTAGCGCGCGTCGGTAGAAGTACCGTCGACGGCTTTAAGGAAGGCCGCGTGTTCGTCTGCTGCCGTCGCTCCTCGTCGCATCCTTTTCGTTCCTCGTCGCATCCTTTTCGCTCCTCGTGGTTTCGAAGGAAAAGCTTCCGTTGAAGGCTTCCCTCAGAAGCGCGTTTGAATTGACTCAAAAGCAAGCTTCCCTCAGAAGCGCGTGTCTCCAGTCGCCCTTTTCCCGCGATTCGTGCTCGCGCCAATCATCATGGCATCTCTCGCCGCGCAATCTGTCTCCTGCGAGCTCGGCGCGCTTTCCTGGCAGCGCTCCGCCGTCGCCGGCGGTCTCCCTGTCAGGCGATCATCTTCTGTTACTCTAGCCGGAGTGACTAAAACGAATCGTTCCGTGCGAGCGGCGGCAAACCCCGGCAGCAGCAGCAGCAGCAGCAGGAGTAGCGAATCGGACGCCAAGCCGTCGAATGCGGTCAGCCGTCGATCGCTGCTCGCCGTGTCGCTATCTGCGGCGACGTTGGCCCCTCTCCTCTCGCCGTCGCTCCCCTCGTTCAGGTATCCTCGCTACTTCCCAAAGATGTTTGGTCCATATACTATGTTTAAACATGTTTAGCAACATTGCAAATAGAATGTCGCTAAACATGTTTAAACATAGTACGGGGCCTTCGATTGTTTGGGATGTACAAGCACTGTGAGAAATCTCCCAGAATTTCCGCTATCCGCCGTTTCCAGAAGCTATCCGGGTACCTTCCACGTCCCCCTCCCCCCCTCTGCCCCCCTTCCTTTCCCCCCCCTCCACACTCTCCCACCCGCTTCCCCCTCACCCTCTCCCGCCTCCCTCCACCCCCCTTCTTCCCCCCCCTTTCCCGTGTCGCTATCCGCGGCATCGTTGGCACCTCTACTCTACTCTCGCCACTCTCCCCTACCAGTCTCTTGTCTCCAGCACTCGCTGCTGACGTGGATCTGTCCCCTGCTGAGCTGGAAGCGGCGGTGCGGCGAGCAGTGGCGAAGGTGGTAACCAGAGCCAAGGCACCGGGCGCTCTGAGGATAGTGTTTCACGACGCCGGCACATACGACCTGGCTACCAACACAGGTAACACCTATTACCCTGGATTTTAACACGGGTAACGTTTTTCACCTGGTTACCAGAGTCAGGTCACCTGCCGCTCTGAGGGTAGTGTTTCATGATGCCGGCACATACGATACGACCTGGTTACCAACACAGGCAGTAATACCCTCGGGCCCTGGTTCAAACGCATGTGATGGGCTTGCTGAACGGTTAAAGCCAAGGCACCTGGCGCTCTGAGGATAGTGTTTCATGACGCCGGCACATACGGCCTGGCTACCAACACAGGTAACGTCTGATTCCTTGGTTACGATCTACACATGCGGTAACCAGGGCCAGGGCATCTGGTGCCCTGAGGAATGTGTTTCACGATTCTGGTATGCGTGACCTGGCTATAAAAACATTTAAACACTGATCCCCGTGTCACAAACACAGGTAAGGTAACACCCCTTACACTGGTTGCATTTGACGTGTGGTAACCCGAGCCGAGACAGCTGGCGCTCTGGAAATAATGTATCATGACGCCGGCACATATGACTTGGCTACCAACACAGGTAACACATTCTAGCCTTGTCGGGTAGCATTTGCTAGACATGTGGTAACCATAGCCAATGCACCTGGCGCTCTGATGTAACAATTGATGTTATCACCATTGCCATGTCATCTGTCACCATTGCCATGTCATCTCTCAACTTTGCCATGCCATCTGTCACCATTGCCGTGTCATCTCATCTGCCACTAATACGTGTCTCCAGGTGGCATGAACGGGTCCGTTCGTTTTGAGTTGCAACGGCCAGAGAACGACGGGCTCAAGCGCACCATCAAGGTAGATAGATCATAGAACCAAGGGCGGTGGGGGGGGAAGGGGGGGAGAGGGAGGGGGAAGGGAGGGAGGGGCAGAAGGGAGGAAGAGGGGGAGAGGAGGGAGAGGGGGAAGGTAGGGAGGGGGGGAGAGGAGGGAGAGGGGGAAGGTAGGGAGGAGGGGAGAGGAGGGAGAGGGGGAAGGTAGGGAGGGGGGGAGAGGAGGGAGAAGGGGGAGGTAGGGAGGGGGGGAGAGGAGGGAGAGGGGGAAGGTAGGGAGGGGGGAGAGGAGGGAGAGGGGGAAGGGAGGGAACATGAATGAATGGGCTGGTCTGGTTGAGTTGAAACGGGCAGAGAACGATGAGCTCAGGCGCACTTTCAAGGCGCTTCTCTCCCTCCTCCTCCCTCACTCTCTCCTCTCTCCCCCACCCACTCCCTCCCCCTCTCACTCACGCACGCACACGCCAGTTTCCATGGGACACGGGCATGCATGCTCGCTCTTTTGCCTTTTGAGTCGACTCAAAAGTCACCTCTCGCACACACGTGGCACATGGCACGTGGCACGTCAGTTTCCATGGGTCACGGGCATGCATGCCTGCGTGCATGCTCGTTTGCTACCCTTCAGCATCCTCTCTTATCCCGATTCTCCCCCCTCTCTCCCACTCCTTTTTTTGTTTTATTTCTTTTTGGGGTTATTCTACTTCATCTCGCTCCACTACAGCCCTCCGCCACTGTTTTAACGCATCCACTATAACGCGTCCACGACAACGCGTCCACTATAACGCGTCCACTACAACGCGTCCACTATAACGCGTCCACTACAACGCGTCCACTATAACGCGTCCACTACAACGCATCCACTATTACGCAACCCACGTAACGCCTCCACCACATCCCACTGCTTTCTCTCACTTTTTTGCCTCTTCCTTTCCCTCTCTAAGTGCTGGAGAAGGTTCAACCGGAGCTCGGGCCCGTGCCTTGGCAGAGTGCACGCATCACTGGGAGTGGGGCGCAATGTGTGTCCCGCTAAGAGCCACTTCTTGCAACGCCTAGGGCTGAACCTCTGATCTGTGCTTCCCCCTTCCCCCCCTTTCCCTCTCTAGGTGCTGGAGAAGGTTCGCCTGGAGCTGGGGCCCCTGGCTAAAGGTATGCACGCACTGGCAAGGGGTACGAGGGTCTGGCCACGGGATGATGACGATTTTGAGTCGACTCTTAAGCAGAGCGATGTGGTGGGCTGTTGAGCTCGGGCCAAGTGGGATGCGGTGGGATGTGGTGGGCAAACGGTAAGCACGATCTGGGAAAGCGTAAGAGGGACTGGCAACGGGATGATGACACGTGCAATGGGATGGTGGCACGTGCAATGGGATGGTGGCACGTGCAATGGGATGGTGGCACGTGCATTGGGATGGTGGCACGTGCATTGGGATGGTGGCATGTGCATTGGGATGGTGGCACGTGCATTGGGATGGTGGCACGTGCATTGGGATGGTGGCACTGCGTTGGGGTGGTGCCATTGCATTGGGATGGTGGCACTGCATTGGGGTGGTGGCACGTGCGTGGCACTGCATTGGGGTAGTGGCACTGCATTGGGATGGTGGCACTGCATTGGGATGGTGGCACTGCATTGGGATGGTGGCACTGCATTGGGATGGTGGCACTGCATTGGGATGGTGGCACTGCATTGGGATGGTGGCACTGCGTTGGGATGGTGGCACTGCAGTGGGATGGTGGCACTGCATTGGGATGGTGGCACTGCGTTGGGATGGTGGCACTGCATTGGGATGGTGGCACTGCATTGGGATGGTGGCACTGCATTGGGATGGTGGCACTGCATTGGGATGGTGGCACTGCATTAGGTGCCTGTGTTGACTTGACAGCACTCTTCCCCTCTCCTCCCCCCCCCGGCCTCTCTAATCTCTCCCTCCTTCCGCCTCCCCCCCCCTCCAGTGGAGTCATGGGCGGATCTGATGGCAGTGGCCGGGGCACATGCGGTGGAGTCGTGTGGCGGGTGCCTGTGTTGACTGTGCCGTCCCCCTCTCCTCCCCCCACCGCCCTGTGTTGACTGTGCCGTCCCCCTCTCCTCCCCCCACCGCCCTGTGTTGACTGTGCCGTCCCCCTCTCCTCCCCCCACCCCCCAACCCTCCTCCCTCCAGTGGTGTCATGGGCGGATCTGATGGCAGTGGCCGGGGCACATGCGGTGGAGTCGTGTGGCGGGTGCCTGTGTTGACTGTGCCGTCCCCCTCTCCTCCCCCCACCGCCCTGTGTTGACTGTGCCGTCCCCCTCTCCTCCCCCCACCGCCCTGTGTTGACTGTGCCGTCCCCCTCTCCTCCCCCCACCCCCCAACCCTCCTCCCTCCAGTGGTGTCATGGGCGGATCTCATGGCAGTGGCCGGGGCACATGCGGTGGAGTCGTGTGGCGGGCCGCACATCCCAGTGCGCATGGGCAGGAAGGACGCCAGGTGGGTTTTGCATGAGAAGACGGGACCTCAAGTGAGGTGGAGTGAGGTGGAGTGGGGTGTGGAGCGGTGGAGTCGTGTGGGGGCCGGCACATCCCTGTGCGCATGGGGAGGCGGGATGCGAGGTGAGTGAGGAATGGTCTGTTGTGTATGTGTGCCCCCACACGACTCCACCACAGTGCATTTTGGCAGTAATATATGCGCAATCATATCCCTCTGCCCCTGTCTCGCTCATCCTCCTCCTCCTTGGCCCTATCGTTTTGTCCTTGCCTCCCGTACCTCCACCCCCAGTGACCCCCCCAGGGGTCCCGACCCCGAGAGCCGAATGCCAGCAGGGACGCTAAACGCTCTGCCTGCTCCTCCCTGCTCTTCCGGTTGCCTCCTTTATCCTACATAGCCCGCCAATTCAGTGGGCCCGAGCCCCCTACCCTGCCCCCTGCCTTCCCTCCCTGTCTCCCCCAGGGGTCCCCCAGAGGTCCCGACCCCCCCAGAGGTCCCGACCCCCCCAGAGGTCCCGACCCCCCCAGAGGTCCCGACCCCCCCAGAGGTCCCGACCCCCCCAGAGGTCCCGACCACCCCAGAGGTCCCGACCCCCCCAGAGGTCCCGACCCCCCCAGAGGTCCCGATCCCCCCAGAGGTCCCGACCCCCCCAGAGGTCCCGACCCCCCCAGAGGTCCCGACCCCCCCAGAGGTCCCGACCCCGAGAACCGAATGCCAGTAGGGACGCTGAACGCTCTTCCCTGCCCCTTTTATATCCTCTTCCTTGCGCCTATCACTGTGCCCCCTGCCTCCCACCCTGTGTACCCCCCCCCCCCTTGCAGCGGCCCCGACCCCGAGAACCGAATGCCAGCAGAGACGCTCAACGCCAAGGAGGTGGCTGCCAGCTTCAAGACAAAGGGCTTCAGGTGAGATTGGTAAAAAGCTTCAGGTGAGATTGGTAAAAAGCTTCAGGTGAGATTGGGAAAAAGCTTCAGGTGAGATTGGTAAAAAGCTTCAGGTGAGATTGGGAAAAAGCTTCAGGTGAGATTGGTAAAAAGCTTCAGGTGAGATTGTTAAAAAGCTTCAGCGGAGATAGGTAAAAAGCCTCAGGTGAGATTGGTGAAAACCCTCAGGTGAGGGTTCTGCAAGGTTGAGTTGAGGCGTGGTGACCACTCAGGTGAGGCTTCTAGGGTAGCAGGGATGCTGAACGCCAAGGCGGTTGCTACCAGCTTCAACACCAAGGGCTTCAAGTGAGGCTTCCAAATAGGTGAGGCTGCTGAAGGGCTTTGACCTACAGTCTAAGGGCTTCACTTGAGGTGAGGGTTCTGCAAGGTTGACTTGAGGCACGTGTAGTGTAGGGTTGGACTTCAGGTGAGGCGTGACACTTGCTGTTATGACAGGAAGAGTAGAGGCCCGGTGAGGCGCATGGAGGGTTGTGGTCAGACATCAGGAGGCTCCCAAAAGGCTTCAGGGCAAGGCGCTGCACTTGAGGCTCCCAAAAGGCTTCAGGGCAAGGGGCTGCACTTGAGGCTCCCAAAAGGCTTTGAGTCAAATCCTAAGAGCCTTTCTCCGTTTCAAGAGAAGAAAACGTTATGGGGTATTGGTGAGGCTTGGGTATACGAAGACATGTATGCTGTATGCTGGTAACACATCACTTTCTAGAAGCTTATAGCTCTGCTGTTACAAGCGGTGGTTTGTTTGCTTAGGGCGCATGTGTTCTGAAGGTGCTCATATCGTGCCTTTCTCTCTCCTTCGCATCATGACACCTACAAGAGATGTTGTGTTTACTGGTAGCAGCTGCACTACGAGGGAAGGGCGCTGGCAACGCTACAAGAATCGGCCTGTCTGCTTCTTTCTTTCCTCTTTGCTATTCTTTCCCTCCCCGCCCTCGTCCCTCCTCCCTTGTTCCCCCCTCCACGGCTTACAATAGAGGCTGTGTTTACTGGGAGAACACATCCTACGGGGGGAGTCCTTTGGGAAGCTACGGGTTTTGCTCTCTCTCCGTTCATTTTTTTTTCCCTCCCTCCCTCCCTCCCTCCCTCCCTCCCTCCCTCCCTCCCTCCCTCCCTCCCTCCCTCCCTCCCTCCCTCCCTCCCTCCCTCCCTCCCTCCCTCCCTCCCTCCCTCCCTCCCTCCCTCCCTCCCTCCCTCCCTCCCTCTCTCCCTCCCTCCCTCCCTCCCTCCCTACCTACCTACCCCAGCCTGCAAGAGACGGTGTGTTTGCTGGGAGCACACACGCTAGGGGGGAAGGGCTTTGGCGACCCTACCAGCTTTGACAATGCGTACTACTCGATTCTTCTTACCAAGCCTTGGCTCGACACGAGTGAGTGCTGTTGAGTGCGGTTGAGTGCGGTTGATGGTTGGTTCGTGCTTCCCCTTGTTGTGTCCATCCAGCCACGTATGAGTGTTGCTGCAGTCAACAGCATTGCGTTACGTCACACTGACTGCATGCCATGCATTGCGTCACACTGACTGCATGCCATGCATTACGTCACACTGACTGCATGTGTGCTACCACATGCCCCTGTGTGCATCCATCCCTCCCACCTCTGTATCTGGTGCAGCAGGCATGACCTGGCTGGACGGCAATAATGATGATTGCCATTCACATCTTTGTGCGTCTCATGTTTCCGTGCGTTCACCCACCCATGTGTCAACACTCTTGCAGGCAACAGTATGGCGGACACGCTTGGACTGCCATTCGCGCCGACTGCGTGCATGCCACCTCATGCCCTTATGTGCATCCATCCCTCCCACCCATGTGTCAATACTCCTGCAGGCAACAGCATGGCGGACATGCTTGGACTGCCATTCGCGCCAACTGCGTGCATGCCACCTCATGCCCTTCTGTCTCTCTACCTGTCTGAACGTGTGGCATGTGTTGCAGGCAACAGCATGGCGGACATGCTTGGACTGCCGTCGGATAGAGCAATAGTGGACGATGATGACTGCCTCGTGTGAGTTCTGTGCACACGGGTGGGTTGGTTTTCAAGTCTTCGTAATTCTGGGAATGGGTGCTAAGTCTGCATTGGTGGATGATGATTGCCTCTTGTGGGCGTCTCCTTACTAGTGGGGTATTTTTCAAGTCTTTGGAACCCTGGGAACAGGCGCCGTGAGATAGGTTTTGAGAGAGGTTTTGAGATAGGAGTCAAGTATTTTTCAAGTCTTAGGAAGATAGGTTTTGAGACGTCTCAAAACGGGGAACTCTGGGAACGGGTGCCTTGATAGAAGATAGGTTTGGAGACGACGACGATGATGAAGACAGCAATGGTGGACGACGACGACGATGAAGACAGCGAAGCTGTGTCGGCATGAGGCCTTTCTCACATCTCCCTCTCTTCTCCCATCCACCCCCCACCTCCCCCCCCCCTTCCTCACCGCCCAGGTGGATCAACAAGTACGCCAACGACCAGAACCTCTTTTTCCGAGACTTTGTGCCGGCTTACACCAAGCTGGTCAACAGTGGGGCCGTGTGGACATGACTAGGGCAACAGCGGATCTGTGTGGGCCGTGTGCCTAGAGCGCTTCTAGACTGTTCTTCCAAGAGACGTTGTGGTGGCTTGCTCCAAGATGGTCAAGAGTGGTGTCGTGCGGCGTGGGCGTGAGGCATTGGGGACTTTGCCTGCAATTGATTCTTGGTTGGCACACTTGGGAAGTTTTTGCTATTATTTTATAGGGCAAACCAAACCACCACCCCAACCATGTGTTGTTAGTCTCAGAGTAGAAGATTGAGTAGAATGTGTGATACAGGGTAGTTTTGTCTAAGGGGTTGTACTCTCTATAAGACTGCACCAACTAGCCTAACATATACAAAATATATGTTGACACACCCCCTAGGCTAGACAATGGGCAACGACCGGCACGAGACACGCAGCTCAGGGTGGCACTACTCGTCCAACCTCTGAAGCAAGGGTCTGAAGACCAGTCTGCAAGAGTACACAGGGAACAAGAGCAACCCAGGGCAGCACTACTAGTCCAGCCACTGGAAAAGGGGCCACAAGCAGGGCCTCAGATTGGTTTTAAGGTACCCTGATTGCTCAGGCCCCCCCCCCTCCCTTGTTCCCTGATTTTTCAGGACTACATAAAAATTTTCCGCTGAGCTAACAGGGGTGGCTAAAAAAAAAATCATGAGTAAACTTGGTTGCACGCTAGAATCGCGCTGGACACAGGGCCTATTTTTGGATTTTTACTACTCTGAAATTTGGGAGTCGTTTTTTTCATTACTCTGAAAATCAGAGTGACCCCCAATGTTTTCTCTGATTTTCCAGGGTTTTTTTTCTCTCTACAACGTTTACACTGACAGTTCAGAGGGGATTTCTAAGTAACTCTCTGTTGCAGAGTGGCGAAAAAAAACAGCGAAATGCGCATGTGGGGAGAAAACGGCAATCTTGCAGCTGCACTTGCTGCTGCAGCGGCGGATGCTGCGATGGGTGCTGCTGCTGGTCGGCCGGCCCCTGTTTTCGCGGCAGCCCAAATGGCTGCTGCCCTTGCCGCGATCTCGACCGTTCCTGCTGTTGCGACTGCGCGCTGACGCGATTTCAAGCCGTCGATTGCTGCCCTTGCGGCCCTCCTCCCCATCCGTCCTCTCGCTTCGCCATTATCGCGAAAGCGAGAGGTAACCTCATCGCCCCTGCTACTGCACTCCTCCTACCGCGTCTCTCATCGCGTTCCTGGCTAGGAGACCTAACCTCTTCCCGCGTTTCCCGGTCTGACGACCGATTATCACGTTCTGATGTGGAGCCAGTGGCTGTTGCGGGGGTTGCGGCGCGTTGCGCTCTCTGCAGGGCGTCCCTCACCGTGCTGCGCTCCGGTGCGGAAAAATATCGACTTTAACGAGCGGCCCCCATTAGCAGAGCTCCGGCTACTAGGTCTCTAGGTACTGTCGAAGGCTGTAACGGCAGCAACAGTGGAGGTATGCGATGCTCGGGTGGACCGTAGCATGCTAGAGATGCCACGAAACACGGAGAGATGCATGGTAGCGACGGGTGGGATTTCCCGCAAACCTGGTGAAGGGCCCACGATGCAGAAGGGGAATCTTGCCCTCACAAACATCCCCGCAAGCACATGTTGTGTAAATCTGGTAAAGGGCCCATGACGCCCTCACACAGTAAACAACACATGTTGCTCGACCCCAGATTTGGTGAAGGGCCAATCAGCGCCCTCACACGCCTTCCAGCAGACATGACGTGGTGATTTTGGTTAAGGCCCAATCAGCCCCCTCACACACCCTCAAGCACGGACCGGTGATTTTGTCAGTGCGCGTGAAATGACACGTTCCGCGGGATACAGGGGTACGGCTAGGTACAGGGGGTTATATGAAAAATCTGCAGGTATCCCCCCTATTCACTGACCCTCAGAGTGGTACAAAAGTTAACTCTGAAAAATCAGAGTAAAATTGAAGTTCAAAAATTCTACTCAGGGCCCCTAGAGTAGTTTTCAAAAACGACTCTGATTTTCAGAGAAACAGAGTAAATTACTCTGATAAAATAGGCCCTGGCTGGACATCAACACAAGCAATTTTTTTATACAAGCATAAAATATGCATAATCTACTTAAGCATCCTCCTCCTCATCCTCCTCAGCTATACTATCCTGGTTTTCTCCAGGCACGTCTTCAGCTGGTTCCTTTCCCTTGCAGCTCTTCTGGGCCCTGCTCTGTGGGGCGCAGCTATACGGCTTTCTCTTCTTGTAAGCCCTCCAGATCTCTATCACGGCGTCCCAGTCCGGCTCGTAATCTATCAAACTCATGCACATTAAATCTCCTAGGCGAGAGTCCTTCAAGGTGCCACGCAGCCAGCTTTTAATGACGTTCTGGCAGGAGAACCCGCGCTCGCACTCCACTGTACTCAAAGGAAGAACCGCCGTTGCACACCACAGCTTTACAAGGTTGGGGTAGCTGTGCTCCCAGTCCGGTGTCTTCAGAATGGTCGTCAGCCCTGTGAAGAATCCCTTCTCGCTCTGCGGCAGCGCTGCAATGACGGGGGTGAAGTGGGGAATCTCCTTAACGGCCGCCTGCGTGTCAATGTCTGTCAACGAGGTAAGGGGAAGTAAAACTATCGTGTTAGACTTCGGTGCTTGATGTCACAAAAGACCACTTGAATTGAGCTAAACCCTTACCCGGTAATACCTCTTCAGCTCCCTCCGCGTGGTACAGAAGGACAAGGGAATGGAACCACTCGATCCACTGCTTGATCCTGGCCGCACGTGCCCATAGCAACGGCCACTGGTCGGCACAAAACAGCATGATGCCACTCAACTGCTTCAAATCACCCAGCCGCTCCTCCAAGCTGTTGGCCATGCCCTCCGCCATTGTTATGCACAGCGTGACGCTGTCATCGTGCTTCCCCTCGCCCGGATAGCGATGTCCTTCATGTGCAGGATGAAGCTGAAGCGCCGCGGGCGACCGTCCGAGTCAACGCCCTCAATGGTGACGCGCCGCGAACCGGAAGGGCCGTGAAGGGTGAGGAACTCCGTGAGCCGGTCTTTCGGTGCCCCGTTGAAATCGTCGCCGCAGTCGACGTAGCGGCTTAGGAGCAGGGACTTCACACGAGCGATGGTCGACTGGACGGTGGAGATGTCCAGCTGCAAGGAGGGGGTGGTGCACACAGGTAAGGCACGGAAAGATGTCAGTCCAGCAGTTTAGCAAAGACACACAGTAAGTTTACCTGACGCGCCTGGAAGATCTTGTTGAGCGTGTTCATCTGCTCAAGCACATCCGCCAAAAACATCAAGAGAAACCAGAAATGATAGCTGGTAACAATGGTATACAACCTATCGTCTGGGAACTCAAACAGCATCATGATGATTGCCGGCAAAACCTTCACCAACCGTTGGATGGCATCCTCGCGGGAAAGCCACCTAACGTAGTGAATACCCTGCAGCTCAAGCGTCGTCGATAGGAAGACATCCAGAAGCTCGAGAAAGCGTTAATGCCACGGCCCCGAGTGTCCGAGGAACTTAGCGAGCTCTCAGATGACATCGTCGATCATCATGAAAGCGGGGAGGTCATCGGCCGCGGTTTTGGCGGCCAGAGCCTCACTGCGCAAGGACGTGCACAGAACATGAACAGTTGAAGGGAGAGTTAGATAAGGCAACACATACATGGCTACTCTCCAGATCAAAATACGAATGCAAAAAACCCCATGGTTACCGATGCGCTATGCAGTGGCAGGAGACGAGGTGGCGAATGCGCAGTCGGAGATGAGTAACAAGTCCAGACTTCGCGCCCATCATCACTGCTGCCCTGTCAGTGCTGATGCCAGAGATCCGACGAAGATCCAATCCGATGGCATGGAGGTGGGAGAGCAGCAACGCCAGAAGGGAGGCAGTGTCCACCTTGTCGACTGTAAGAAGAGCTAGGTACTCCGTGACCACCCAACGCTCACGAAGGAAGGTCGCAACACGATCATGTGCTTCCCCCGTCACCTATCCGTGCTCTCGTCCAGGCTGAGCTCGATGAACAGGCTCAGCAAAAGATGCTCCAGTTGAGTTGTCTAAAGCCATGTAGCCGTGGCCTGCGTAAATTCTCCGAAGCCGTACCTACAAACGGAAAAAGAAGAGTTGAGCCATGTGATTTCATGGTGTCCAACCACGTCACGCAGTCAGCCGACTCCTCCACCGGGACAACCGATGGAAGGGGAGTGACATGAGACACACCAGACGGGGCAGGACGGGGAGGAAGAGGAGCAGGGGCTACCGGGAGAGTGGGTACCAGGAACAGGGGCGGGGCAACTGGGAGACCGCGGTAGGCCAAGGGGTGTAGAAGGAGACTGACTCGTCAAAAGTGACCTCACGAAAGTGAAAGAAACGGTGAGACGACGGGTGGTAAAACTGCCAGTCAGACGCGTCTAGGGAAACCAAGGAAGACACAAGGGACGGTGCGGGCAGTGAGCTTGTCCATGCTAGAGGCACAAACGTGAGCAAGGCAGCCCCCTACGTGGAACGCAGACGCATCACCAGGGAACCTGGTCCAGAGAAGGATCACCGCGTAGTGGACAAGGTGAGGGCATTAGTACCCTGACTCAAACAGGGTATTGACTATTATTTACGAGTTCACCCTGATTTTCGAAGGGTACTGAGAATTCCACACTAAGAGGCAGGGTAGTTTTGTTGCGGTACCCTGATTCCGAAGGGTGCCTCTCAACCAATTTTGGGCCCTGCGCCACCCGCTATGTCTGGGCAGTCAACGTCTAGAATAGAGGGGGAGTTCTCATCATCTTTCGACCTTGGCTCATGCTCGCTGAGCACCAGTGTGGAAAGAAACTCAAATACTGGCAACCAGATGGAGCTCAGTAGTTCCGGAGCGAAGAGTTGCAGACTCACCTCCAAGAACTCTGAATCGAGCACAGGTCTCCCTTCCCTACGCTCACCCATAGCAAGGCGTCACTGAACGGACCAACTGCACCCTACAGACCAAAGTGAGGGTGATGATGCTACAGTCCGGAGTGCCCACAGACTACTGGCCCTATGCAATGCACCTTGCGGTACGGCTGCACAATCTACTGTCCACCACCACCAATGAAGGGAATCAACCCCCATTCCTAGCCTGGACAGGGAAGCCAGGGAACACCACCATGTTGCGAGTCTGGGGCTGCATGGTCCAGTACCGACCTCATCAAGCCACCACCGGGAAGTTCGAAAGAAGAGCTCGTTGCGGCGTGCACCTCGGTATCTCCCATGAATACCAAGCGTGGACAATCCTAGACCTGGAAAACTCCAATGTCGTACCCTACAAGGACATCCTCTTCTTTGAAGGATTCACTCTGAAGCAGTTCCAGACAGACCGATCAGCCAATCAAGAAACAGCCTAT